AATCGATTCGCCCGGTCTCATTGCACGCTCGTACAGAAGCCGACACTGCCCAGCAAGAGAGTCGTATACCTTCATCTGGCTCGGAATGTGGTAGCATTTCCCACCTAGTGTCTCTGCAGAAAAACTTCAAGAGAAAAGGGACCGTGCAAGCCCAAGCACTGCACAGCATAATATGAGTCATACCATGCGACACCATACGCGAGCAAACACTATGCCTTCAATGAGCGAAGCGAAACATGCAGAATGAATGATAGATCCCGTATTATAGCTGCCGCCCATGGAGCATTCAAAAATTTGAGAAAGCTGTGAAATAATAACAGCGGAGCGACGCACAAAAGAGCTAGATATCTTTGAGTTTGTTGAATCGCTGCAGTAGTTCATCGAATTCTGCATCTCCGATCTCCCCTTCTCCCACCTTGTCTCGGCATCCGAACCCGACCTAGGAAGATTCCCTACACACTCCGATACGCTCGCGTCGGGATAGTAATAGCATCAGTGGCAAGGAAACATTGCAATCCTTGATACACCATAGCATAAAACACTATACTCTTCCTGCAACACCAGAGGTACAAACGCATCCTACTCGATTTCTGACGTGCATTCATTGATGTTCGAGTTGACGAGAAGTTCCCATCTTCCTCGTCTTCACCACGTATCTTCTTACGTAGGGAAGGATGACGGGGAGAGGCAAAGGCAGATGGACTGGGAATGTCGAAGCGACACCCTGGAGGATACGAGTCAGCTACAAGGCGGCAAACTACCAAAGTACTCGGTCGACGCGGAGTGCCTTGTGGGTTGATCGCTGGCAGAGCCTTACTGGCTGAGGTGTGGCCCGCAGGGAAAGGACCTGAGGCTCAATGATCCATCATACTCCGTATCTTACGTGAGTTGCTGATGGACTGTTCTTCCTTATCCAAATCCTCAAAGACAAGCTCATCTGCCTTCGGATTCGGTACAAAGCCAGTAGTGTCCTTATCCGGGGTCGAGGATGACTCCGGCAGAACTAAGAGAAACACTATTCCCAAAGCCCAAAGCTTTGCTCCGTCTCACCCGTAGGCTCACTCGAACTAGGAGAGATCTGCTGTTGTGTGACACTAGGCGGCGTCGTGGACGCGGGTATAGATGAGGAATGCGAGATAGTCAATGCATCAGCTAACTTCTCCTCAATCGTCGAAGGGCGCTTCCACTCCACCTGAACCTTCTTTCGAGGGCAAGCAGGAGCCTATCTGACCCCACACCGAACTTATCAGCTATCTCGTCCAACGTATCTAGGATCATACTTTCGCTTGGGGATGTGATCGTCAGAAGACCTACATGAAACAAGCATAAAAACAAGCCCCTCGTATTACCGCTTTCTGCTACCTACAAACCTCGGCGCTACATCTTGAGTGGAATTATCGATATGCTGTTGACACCAAATGCGGCCATACTTCAGCTCAAATTGCCTCACACAGTTAGCCATCTCGGGTACCGTCAAGCGCACCCCAGCATAGATCATCGTGGCGATAGGGCAGATGAGATCGGCAGGACATTCCTTCACCAGAGGTGATGCCAACGGTCTCAAATCCAACAGCGACCTTACTTTCGACTGATCAATATACTGAATCCTCGTATAGAGTAGCTCGCACTGTGTCTCTAAAATATCATAGGCACTCTCCAATTTCTGATTCGCGATCAGCTGCTCTGCCTTGATCCTAGCTTTCTCCTCTCGCCCCTAGAGCCGTTAGACTATCAAACAAGATGACCCACACTGACTCAAGTCACCTGCCGGAGCATCTCCGCTATCTCACGCTCAGCTATTCGCTGCCACTTGATCACTTTGTTCCTCTGTAGTGTGCAACGTTTGCCCGCCAGCTAAACAATGAAAAATGAAGGTAGGGTGGAGGCATATAGACAGCGAAAAGTCACCTGCAAGCTTGCCTTGCACGTAGACGCTTTCCAGCGATCAAATATTCCCATGACGCTCTTCTTGAAGGAAGACATCGGGCGAATGGTCCGCCGCGAAAAGTACAGCACCCTAAAATACGAGCGTGGTGATTCGAACCTGGCTCTTCTCTGGTTCTCGCGGTTTCTCCTCGGCTCACCGATATCGCGCCGGCTAGATACGCACTGGAGGAAAACTCCAGGAGAATTCATCCGAACTGATAGGGTCCCACACTGGTAGGTGACAACAGTTCGATCATTTCCCCTCTCGCATATTTCCACTGATGGTCAATCCATTAGGAACTCGTAAGAGAGCAAGATCTACACCTTGAAAGTCTCATCAACAAATTTCCGAAGTTCCATTTACACCCCCACAGGTCTTGGCGCCTCAACGTGGCGTGGGGGTGACCGGTTCGGTATAGCCGGTGCCAAGCCTTGACCACCTCTGCCTATACTCGTACATCCCTCAGCGGGTGCCTTGGAGTATGGTGGGGTTTCTCTCCGTTGATGCCTGTTTAGCTATTTTCTAGCGTTTCATTCGGCGGGCTGCTACTATGTGTATACCTGCTGTATCTTACCCTTGCATTATAGCTCATGCCACACCGTTCTTTCTCACGATTTTGTCTCATGATATTCGTGCATCACTGTCTACTTGTCGAGGATTGCTTTCACCTTTCCCCTGGCTTTTGTCAGGCTTCGGCCTTTCTTTCCCCTGAGTTACGCCGTACTTGCCACTGTCTTTGCCCAACAGTTGCTCCCGTGTTCTTTCGCTCAGGTGTCTCATTTAATGCATTCGCATTCGTCCCGCGTTAGTCGTTCTTCCTTGTCGTTCCAGGTACTATCAATTCGGCGTCGTGCCTGAAATCGTTTGGTGGACAAGACGTCAACACTACGTGCAGCACCACTGGCCGTGGGCTATTATGCTTTTCGAATACTGCCTCAGTTGGTTTTGCAGCGAGCATGGTCTACCATGGTCTACTGTATGAACCGGTAACCATCGCGATGTCTTCTCGCTTTCGACAATCTTACTGTCCATGTTCACCATCGCCGTGTTCATGTTATGATCCCGGTGTATTCTGCCGAGTCCCGAAGGAGCAAGAGGAGCATCTATAGTACCGTCGTCGACTTGACTTACTCCCCCTACCCAACCGCAGCTGTCTTCTGTCTGCCGTGTAAACCCTGTTCTGGTGGTTCATTACCCTCCCTGTGCTTCTCGTAGCATATATCGTGCGATGTCATCACCTGTGCATATGTTAGAGCTGCCTGGGGTCTATATCGTCCTCTTTATAGTAGTTGTATTTCTTCCTCTATCATTTTACGCCCTTTTTCCTATTTTAGGTATTATACCTGGCCCCGCTCTTTGCATTATCTACCTTTCTCTCTCGTTGTAGTAGTAGCAGCCACATATCTCTGATGTCGACGGGGTTATAGCCTCACTGTCTCTTTGGGTGCTTCTGAGCCGGCTATTGTACGTTTGAGGGCGATCGGCTGCTAGCCCGTAAAGCCCGGCAATAAGCATTGCGTTGCGTTGCGTTGCGTTGCGTTGCGTTGCGTTGCGTTGCGTTGCGTTGCGTTGCAATGACAGTATTAAAGACATTTTACGTCAAAGACACTTTTTGCTTCTTATTATACAACTCGCAGTTATACTCTACTTGCTCGTATTTATCGTCAGTACGCTTCTAATGTGACTGCCTCTCTACGGTGTAGTACCAGCGATTAGTGACCGAGTATAGCACGGAACGATTCTTATCGAAGCCTTCTCAACTAACTCAGCAGCGATACTGAGTGGTTCAGCCAGGGACCCCATACAAATTCAAGGCTAGAGTATTACAGTTAGAAAGGACAGAGAACTGAAAGGATGCCAAGGCATGAGAATATCACTTCACAATAGAAACAGACGTTTCGGCCGGCTCGATACTATCGGATTCATCGGCGCTACTATGATATTCATCGTTGATCTTGTCTCGGACAAAAAAGGCAAAGTCCGGGTTGCCGAAATACTTGCAGTGACTCGCGACCGCAGCCACGTACTCCCCTGCTGACTCTATGAACGAATCTTGCAAGACCTGAAAATAGCTGTTCATCTCGCTAACATGAACAGGCATTACCCAATCGATTCTCTCGCCACGGTTGGCCTTCTTTATTTTCTTCACAACTTCGCTGTATTTTTTCTTCTGTGAAGGACATAGAAACAAATTCCGCTGATTCGATCAACTATTCATACCTCCGCTGAGTCAAATCCTAGAAGATTTTTCACCGGCCTCATGAGCGTATTGGTGACACCAACTTCGAAAGCCGACTCGGCGAACCTCTTCACCTGAACATGCCTCTGTATACCGCCCCCTCCACTATAGAAAGGCACCTAAAAAATCAATAGCAAACACCTCACCACCAGCAGCCATCACAGTCATGTAGTTGCACTACATGATGAGCGTTCACTGCCTTGCAGTCAGGAGCAATCAGCGGTTCTATTCGATAAGCTACTGGATCCGTCGGGTTGAATACGTTATAGAGGCGGCAACAATTGGACTGAACGGAACTCAGCTCAATGGTCATGTGAACGCCTCGTGCTCACCACAGGAGCAATATCTCCACGCGCTACTCCACGACATGTGAGAAACAATGGTAGAGGCGAGCCACACAGAAACAAGACATGCACATCAAAGCCCGACGTAAGGCGGAATTCCGTTGGTAACTGAGAACGAGAAAGGCTATTACGTTATCTCAGGAGATTCTCTATCGTCATACTAGTGAATTCCAGCGTTCACCAAACAGCCACACTCGCATCAATCCGAAACTACTTTACCACACAGCACAACATCTATAGCATTTCTAGGTCAAACTAATTTTCAACTGACGTTTTTCAACGACGTTTCACATTTTCGATTAATATTTCACGCATGATTCTAATAAAATACCGAGAAGGTTGATATTATACCCAAACTATCTGAAACTTTAGGAGTTGAATTAAGCAAGGACGCAATGATCGCGCGGCTGTGGGAGTGATCGAAAATCGTCAGCCTCTCTATTACATCGTTATTCTCTTGTATCTTCACTATATCGTACGCTATAACCGATCCAAGTGAATGCCCCAATATCGAAACTCGCGGTCTTGGATGCCCCCGTTGATCTATCGTCGCCATGCACTCAGTCAACTGCAAGGCATATAGTGGTATGATAAACGGAGGTTCGACTGACCGCTGTATTTATACTGCCGATGACACCTCTACGAATCTTGCTCTCGTATATAGGAGACTGGTAGAACATCACGTCTGCCGCTACGTCATTAGCAAGGGAGCCTGAAAGAATGGAAGAACAGGTCACCTCTCGTGAGGAGTCGAGAACTCACGCAAGAGAGGGACTGAGCGTAGCGTTATGTCCTTGATACGCCCAACAAGGTCTCTATCATCTTCGTGGATGATATTCGCCCACACCACAGGAATGCATCTAAAATGCTCCTATGCTTCGTTTGAGCAGATCCTGGCAAATCTCACTCGATTCGGCCATCCCCATCAGAGCGCCCCTTATTGATGAGACTTCGAAACTCTCGGACACTCTCAACAAATGCACCTGGTGAACCAGTGCTCTGGTGCGGAGGCTGGGACCAGAAGTGCTCTCCCATGCCGTGTATGCAGAAGACCTGTAAGACACCAAGAATCGCGAACCAGTGAAGCGTTCTACAACTGAATGCGAGATGTTCCGACTCTCGACGATACTAATACGAGTAGTGTTAATCAATTTGCTATGAAATAGAGAGCACGAGAAACAGCAGATCCATGCTGCTAGATGATCTCTCACCAGATCACTGATGGGCACCGTGGAATCGCCGAACTCATCAGGGGCGTCTGCCCACCCTCGATCCAACTGGCTTCGTTGGCTGACAGTAAGAGAAAGGTCAATCTGCTGACTACCGTGGCCACAAGTGAATCGTTTGACCACGAGCTCTATTATCATCTAACTAGAAGAATTTCACTAAGATGAAGCAAAACTCCCCATACTCAGAGGACATCCCCCCACACTGCTGAGTTCCACCCAAGTATACGTAACCTATCATTCCGCACCCCATGAATTACCCTAGGTATACGCCGAGACCCGAGCCGTACACCACATAAGAGTCACTGCTATCTTGATACTCTACGAAGTTCTTGCCATCAGGAAGGGCCTGATAAGACGGATGTACTCTCTCCGACTACTCAGAACCTTTATGGTGTCACCAGAAAATCAGTCGAGTCCTCCTTGGGAGCATCTCCGACCTTGCGATCTTCTATCCACTTCTCAATAGCGATAGAGTCGTCCTCTGATAGAGGCTTGCCTGCGGATAAACATGAGTATGAAGCCTCAGCAACACCCGATGTGCTATTCATAATCCACACTTCATGACCCGGAGCTGACTCAGCTCGGGCTGCACCCGATTAAACGGTCCTGCTAGGCTTACCATCGACGTGCCATAAGGCCCGTAAAACCTCACTGGCGGCCATTTTCCAGTACCGTGGAGTCACTGCTCTCGACGGCAGGTCCACCAACCAACGATCTCCGTAGACACCCACTTGAGCCTTGACGAACAGAAGCCATTGAGCCAATAATGAATTTGTTGCGTTAATTCTACCGCGTTGTTTTTCAGAGCTTCGTTGAGACGATCCTGATCGGGCTTAGGGAATGGTAGCCATGTCTGATCCCAAGGGGTATTGGATTTCACCACGGGAGCGTTCTCACCCGTGAGAGGGTGGTGCAACCAGACCAAGTCTTCTGACATTACACCGAAAGCTCAACTCTCGTATATTCGGAATCTTCCTCGTCGTGAAAATCAATGAACAAATTTAATCTCGGAATCAATTCATGTTAAGGATAGATTGTTTCAGGGGACAGTTGAAAACTGCTATACGAGACATGCGCTGAAGCGGAGCGACGCTTTCTCGCACTTGGAATGATATTGTTTGATGTGATAGCCATCACGTTGATGAGCTTTCCCACACGTCATAGGCACTGACTTTCTCAGCCTTACGGTGTTCACATTCATGTCAACTGAGGTTACCTCTGATAGTGCTGTCGCGGCAGCCCCTCTCGTAGATACTGTGGGTAATCAAAGTGTTATTCACTATTCTCACGATCATCCACAGACAACGGCTGTTGAGGTAGCTTTTTTTCAGAGGAAGCGGAGACCCAACGAATCATGGACTTCTTCGAAGCTCTCGAACTGGAATGCACCAGTGGAAAGTTCACAGACGTGAGTCTTACAAAGTACACATATGCATTCTTCGCTTGTCAAGGCCGTGTCCAAGTTCATATTCGACCATGCTGATACCTTCGACGACCGCGAGTTGGACAAAGATATTCCGTTGGATTGGTACAACATTTTTCAAGAATATCAGACCCTCATTGAGAACGAGATAAGATGTTAGTCTCATGCATTGACGACAGCTCGGCGATATTCCCCTCAGGTGTATTGAAAGCCCATGAAATCTCAGATGAGGAGTTCGCTACCTACATAGAGGTTATCACTGAGAAAGGTGCGGCAGGCAACTTTTCGTCATTCCCTGCCATGAAATGGGTCGACATCGATGTGAAATTGCCAAAACTCGTTAGTGCGAACGGTGTTTGTAATGCTACAGTGCAGCTCATCGATCCCTCCATCTCGCTGACATTGCTCTGGCTCATATGACAAGAAAGTAACTGAGTTACCCATTATGAGAGCTCGCCAGATACGACGGGACTATTCGCTATCGATTACATCACAGCTGCTCTCGATTTCGAGGACTTTTGTGTGATGATGTTCCAGCATAAGGTGAGGCAGGGCCCCACGTGTAGTCGCATCGAAGAGAATGCTCTACGGTCTAGTTATCCCTTCAAAATGAGTGCCACTAGACTTGCGTCTCTCGGTGGTCACCTTCAACGCTTTTGAATCGTGATCTCATGTGGCGATCAGGTGATGGTAGCATTTGAGGTTCCCGATGATAGTGAGGAGCTTCCTTCCGGAGGAGTGAGGAAGTGAATCCGCCACGCATGCTGATCATGAGCATTGTCGGCTTCTTATGTTTTCTTTTGCGTTGTGATGAGATGCTTCTTCCATAAGGTGGGATTCTCTCCATAAGAGTGGCACCAGAATGGACGTCTCTATGGGTACGATGATGTTGAACCATATTGTCACCTCAGCTAGTGATACGATTCCAATTTGCATTTAAACATGACAAAGCAACTAGAGAAGTATGTACCAACTCCCACACGAAGCTTTCTAACTTTCTCGGCTTGGCCCTGTGGCGCAACGGTAGCGCATCTGACTCCAGATCAGAAGGTTGTCCGTTCGAATCGGGCCGGCGTCATATTACATATTCCAATATGCAGATAAACATGACAAAGCAACTAGAGAAGTATGTACAAACTTCCACACGAAACTATCTAACATTCTCAACTTGGCCCTGTGGCGCAACGGTAGCGCATCTGACTCCAGATCAGAAGGTTGTCCGTTCGAATCGGGCCGGGGTCATTTTAAAGATTTGGAGACCTGCATATGAACATGACAAGGCAACTAGAGAAGTATGTACAAACTTCCACACGAAGCTATCTAAATTCCTAAACTTGGCCCTGTGGCGCAACGGTAGCGCATCTGACTCCAGATCAGAAGGTTGTCCGTTCGAATCGGGCCGGGGTCATTTTAAAGATTTGGAGACCTGCATATGAACATGACAAGGCAACTAGAGAAGTATGTACAAACTTCCACAAGAAGCTATCTTTCTCTCTCAACTTGGCCATGTGACGCAACGGTAACGCATCTGACACCAGATTAGAAGGTTGTCCGTTCGAATCGGGCCGGGGTCATTTTAAAGATTTGGAGCCCTGCATATGAACATGACAAGGCAACTAGAGAAGTACGTACAAACTTCCACACGAAGCTATCTGACTTTCTCAACTTGGTCCTGTGGCGCAACAGTAGCGTATCTGTCACCAGATCTGAAGGTTGTCCGTTCGAATCGGGCCGGGGTCATATTACATATTCCAATATGCAGATAAACATGACAAAGCAACTAGAGAAGTATGTACAAACTTCCACACGAAGCTATCTAACTTTATCAACTTGGCCCTGTGGCGCAACGGTAGCGCATCTGACTCCAGATCAGAAGGTTGCCCGTTCGAATCGGGCCGGGATCATTTTAAAGATTTGGAGACCTGCATATGAACATGACAAGGCAACTAGAGAAGTATGTACAAACTTCCAAACGAAGCTATCTAACTTCCTCAACTTGGTCCTGTGGCGCAACGGTAGTGTATCTGACTCCAGATCAGAAGGTTATCCGTTCGAATCGGGCCGGGGTCATATTACATATTCCAATATGCAGATAAACATGACAAAGCAACTAGAGAAGTATGTACAAACTTCCACACGAAGCTATCTAACTTTCTCAACTTGGCCCTGTGGCGCAACGGTAGCGCATCTAACTCCAGATCAGAAGGTTGTCCGTTCGAATCGGGCCGGGGTCATTTTAAAGATTTGGAGACCTGCATATGAACATGACAAGGCAACTAGAGAAGTATGTACAAACTTCCACACGAAGCTATCTAACTTCCTCAACTTGGCCCTGTGGCGCAACGGTAGCGCATCTGACTCCAGATCAGAAGGTTGTCCGTTCGAATCGGGCCGGGGTCATTTTAAAGATTTGGAGAACTGCATCACCGGAACGGCTACATCCACTAACATTTACGTCTCCGAGTTCCCAAGTTGAAGTCTACGCATCACACTGTGGGGCCGCCGGTTGACAATTGACTCCTAACCCAACTCGCGATCCATCGATTCCTTCGGTGAGCACAGGAACAACACACGCTCGAGTTTCAGATAACCAAAAGTTGCGATGGGTATTTTTCTAACCAATCGAGTGGAGGGAGAACAGTTCGACACCACAGGGGCATTTTCCTCTTGGCATCAGAAACAACTTCTGCGATATCACCAGCCGACAACCTTCCGTCACGAGCCTCGGGCCATAGATGATGATGTGCCAAGCTCCAACTCAAGGCGTATAAAAGATGGGGTTCGATCCCTACACCATAACGATGGTTAGGAAGGGTGGTCGCGACGAGAACTTTGCAGGTCTCCGATGGGACGACTCGGATGCCACCATGCAGCAGGAGAGCGCACCCAGCATCCTCATTCACGTGTCGCTGTTGCTGACTCGCAGCAGTGGCGATCTGGAGACAGCCCGCCTTGCACTCGATAACTGCGATAAGAGATCCGCCAGAGACTATACCACAGTCCACTTCACCGCACCTGAATCCAAAATACAAATGCTCGATGCAGCTACAAAGACACTTTCTCCATCCTCACTCACTTCCTCCCTTTGTGATCAACCCACAGCGCGTTACGACTGAGCTTCCAGTCCGAACAGTCTCGGACTCCCAGTCTAAATGAAACGGCTTTTTTCAGTCGGTTGTCATCCAGACAGACGCATTGCTCGAATGTCTCCCCCGAGACCTGTCTCGGGCTACCCGTGTCGAGGAGCCCTCGGAGCAGCTCCTTCACTTTCAAGTATCGCTTATAGTCCTGACTGTTCTCTATGAACTCCAGCTCCTGGATGAGCTCGCCACGCCGTCGTCTGAGTCCCTCCAGTGCTCGAATGTCAACACCCCGAGCCAGTTTCCGCTCTACTCCCTCCACACAGAGGCGGCAATGATTAAGAGGATTCGGCACCCGCCTCGCCGCCGCAATGACCGCATCTACAGGCGTATCATCAGACAACCCCAGAAGGGCACGCAACTCAGCCACGTGCGGCTGCGACTCCCGTGAACGGTGTTGGGCCACTTCACGACTCAGATGCGACAGAACGCTCCGCCACTGTTTCACCCATTCAACATCGTCCGTCGCAGAATCGAGAGAAGGGCATTGAGGATAGGAACGCAGGAATCGTCTCAACCTCCACCGCTGCACCTAATCAGAGAACGGGCGAATTAGAAAATCAGTCATAAGGTGGGCCCGAAGAACCAAGCCAGCAAGCGCGAGATAACACACTCGCTCACCCATTGTATCATTTCGAATATCATCCCATCAAGTTGCCAAGCACGGAGCCGCAACGAGTGGAGGAGGAGTCGAAGTCCTTCCGGCAACATTCAGCTGGTCAGGACCCGACCAAACCGAGGATCGCGCCTGCCTGAATCGACGTCACACCCCGCACTGTAAACTCAACCCTTCACGACTATAAAGTAACCCTTGTTACTAGACGTTCATAGATCGATAAAGATCAATTCAATACAGCTAGACCCGGGCCATGTGCCGTGGTCGAGTAGTACTGTTCATACCCGTAGTAGCAGCCACATTGTGAATCTTGCGCCCTCTACCAACACCAGCAGCTGGATGAAAATCATCCGACAGGAAAGAAGTCGCGATCGTCCTCACTTGTAGTCCTCGGCTCGGGCTGACCCTTCTGGAGTTTCTGCGCCCTCAAGCGGGACTGCCTGTGAAAATCTCGTTCCTCTCGCTCCAATAGCTGCAACTGAGGTGCACAAATAGTTTCAAGAGTAGAGGCACAGCGGCGATCATATAATCCCAAGCCCCGAGGAGACCCACTTCCTTCACCAAATTGGCTATCTCAGCTTGTCGCTTCTCTCGTGCGGCCCTCGTGTTGAGCAAGCCATCACTACGTCCTGATATCCCCTTCAATCGGCAGGAAGCAGTACAAAGACTCCTCACCGTGGGTTGGGGGCGTGCGACTGTTCCTCGGAGGGGCACTGTGTGCTCGATGGTCTCTTGATGCAGGGTGGATCGCCCGGGGAGTTGAGTGAATCTCTACCCCATGTAAACTAACATATCTACAAGCCGATGATAATCTCACCAGAAGGTTCCTCATCCTCGGATGCGGCCGAAACTACAGCAGCCGTGGTAGCCGCCGCCGCGGTCGCAGCTGTTGCATCGCCACGCCCCGGTCCCTTGGTTACAGTCACCTCGCCGCGCACGTTTATAAAATGGGTCGTACTAGACCCGTCAATGGTCGCTCTCCGTGTAGTCGGGATTGGAGACACCTGAGCTCTGCCTCGTGACTTGCACAATGCGCATCCTACCGATCGGGAACGCGCATGATCTTTTTCATCCGACAAAGGCGCTTCACGAGGCGGCCACGGCCCCGCCGGAAGAGTATCCGCGAGACCACCTACTTATAGAATTTACCCGAACTTCTAGCGGTGTAGTAGTCATAGTAGGGCTCACCAGCATCATCCTCAGCTTCAGCGAGGTCTGAAGCCTCCGTGAGATCAGTCTCCACCGCGCGCTCCTTTTCCTCTGGTTCCGTCCCCTTTTCCTTCGCAGCTGATGCCACTCGCTGCTGCAGGCCCTTCTGTGCCTAAATCAAGGCTAAGGCCACACCCATTCCTAATAGAAATGCTACTTGAACCACCCTCTTGAGCACTCGACCGACCCTTTGCAGCCCCTCGTTTATCTTCTGTGTTGTTCGCGACTCCACCGCTGTGACGGAGCCTGCGACAGCCCAGCACCGACAAACTCCATGTAGTAGTTATTTTACTTCTAACTTCGTCTACAGCTATCTTGACGTCCTCCACCTGGTTCATCGCTTCCTCGGCCAATCGTTGTGACATGTCCTCGACCATGTCCATACGGCTCATGACCTCCGCCTCAAACGACTAAGGAATGGCCTCATCCACCCACGCCCTAGAGGGACGGAGACTATCATCACCCGTATTTGATCAGTGAGATCCTCAAGTATTGACGAACTGGGTCCCGCTGCTTCGCTCCGTGGCTGAGGGCAGGAAACAGTGATCGCCTATGATCGAACTCGCCAAGACTTACACTGGCAGCCTTAGCTGGGCCCCCTTGAGGATGTCCCTCTCGAACCTCGGCCTCTAGCCTGAGCAACTCGTAGTAGTGTACAAGAGCAAGAAGGGCTCTACTTCGCCAAACGCCGTTCAAGCGATCTCTGCCAGTAGCCCCCGCCAGCAGCAGCGGTGGGCGGCTGATTTGAAGGACCTTCTTCCAGCTGCAAGGCCTGCATCTCTCGTAGCTGTCTGAGGAGTACCACACCTCCGTCAAATCAGACAATCATCCGCTGGCATTCACCTCCCAATTCCGTTGATACGTGACTCCATCTCATTACACTGGTCGGCAACTTGATTGATACGGTCACTGAATCCCTACAAAATCAAGGCTGATAGGGGCGACTAAGTGGAGCGCGTTGCCTGGACTGTGAGACAACTGGCTGTGACTCGTTCCAACTGCAACTCTAGATAGGAAATGTAGGCCGATCGATCCTACAACATATGGTTACATAACAACGTGAGTGCCATAGCAACAGCACTCAGTTCACAGGAAAATAGCACGTCTGGTCGAGGAAATGTTTCATTTCCGAGAGAAGTCGAGATATGCGGATCATGCATCCTACCGTCATAAGCCTGTGTCGGTCGCCGCTATCCATCGTGTCTAGTGATCTATGCCGCCTCCGACTGTACCCTCCCTCACGAGGTGAGGCAGCAAATGACGACGAGGAGGAAGCGGCCATGTTAAGGCCGTCATCAAGGACCTGTCACCAAGCGTGTCACCACAATTCAACACGGTGTTTCTCAGTTCCCCGTCCTCCAAGATTACCAACTTGATACGCAACAGTGGAATCATCAGACGTAATTATTCGATATCACTTGGTAGGTTCGAATCTGCGAACTCCCAGTTAATGAGACTCCACCACTTCCTCAAATAGGCTGCCCTGTCGTGCTGGTAGTCGAGGTAGTAAGCATGCTCCCATACATCTACCAATCACAGCTCGTCACACTGAATCGCACCCTATACAGCTCACCACAAGTGAAGAGTGGAATTTTTCCAGGGTCCTCACTGAGGGGGCTATGGGCATCCTTCGTCCCTACGAGGTCCAATCGCCTCTCCCGGGTATCCAACACCAACCTAAGAAACAATTGCATAATCACACTCCATGAGCAATCATGGGCTTCTCTCTAGGTGTTTAGGGAATTTCCGCTGTAAATTTCAATTTTCGAAAAAAAAATCGAAAGAAGCAACATTGTCAGTGACGCCAGCCTCAAGAAATACATAGCCACGTTTCTCACCAAATCCAGCCACTCCCAAACAGTGCCGTCGCTTTTTGCATGAAGTCCTCCTTCATCTTATCAACGTTCCCCCACCTAACACGTATCAGCTTCAACAGACGGGGAGGCACATGTCGTCCACTGCCCGAAGTTGGGACCATCGACAACCAGTACCTGCCATACAGGGACAAGGAAGTTCGCGATTGAACTAAGGGCTCAGAATTGAGACCATATGCGGAAATGGGAAGCGACCAGCAGTGTTGTAATATATGTTCGCCTTCCTCAGCTGATCCTAGGAGTTTACTCACCAACTATAGGAGTTCATATAGGAACTAGGGTAGAAATGTACTGAAACCAACAATAATTTTGCAAATTTTCCTCAGAATTCTCATATTGTCCGCAACATATGTGGTCGACCCTGTGCATATTTTCCCACACTGCTGACCAGCATCACTACATATTGTGATTGTAGATCTGCCCAGCAGCATTGAACACATTCTCCCCAGCTCGGTCAGGCCCCAGAGTAACCAGGGACTTCAAATTGATTCGCGATTCTGAGGCAGAAGTCAGGTCGAAAAAACGTCGTGTGATTGTGCCCACCCGGCAAACCAGTGGCGTCGAGGAGCTTCTGGACGTAACCCTGGTGGTGCTTATTGTAATGGAAATCCACAGTCGCTGCCGAGATGACCGGCTCGAGGGCCTCTAGTCCATACGGCAGGGTGACCTGAGCTTTCTCCACTTAACCAGCGTTGATCCTGCCTTAGCTTACCCTAAGGCTACTAGAAGGGGCAACCCCAGACCTTGAAGGGACGAAAGGCTTTGCTCGAAGCCCTTTACCAGAGGGTATTGCATGTCGCACAGCGCGACTGTCCGTAGAGCCCCGGCAAACCACAAAGAGAGTGTCGGCGAAGTACACCAAGAGGACTACCGCGCCGAGTAGCAACAGCGACGCACGAACCCGTGGAGAAGTCCGGTATGTGAGCCGCCTCCCACCAGAGCCAGAGAGCCGCATAGCAACCCAACTGATACAATCCGGCAGTACGTGTCTCCGATCACTAAGCATGAGATCTTTTTCTAGCCATGACAAGCCCTCCACAGCATGGGGCTTTGTACAGTATAAATGTGCTACTACGGTTTCCTACGTCCCTGAACTGCTCAACACATTCACCACAATTGAGGTTAGAAACAGTTTGGCAATGTTAACGAGACACACCTCTGTCGGTTTCTATGCACTTTTGCCCTGATTCACTCGTAAACTTCCATAATCAGTGAGGAAACCCCTGAGCTCAGCTGAGGGTAGGAACCTAAAAAAAACAAGATGGACAAGCGAACTAGATCTTAAATATTACATCATAGAGGAATTGGGAAAAATTTAAAACACGAATAGTCCCCGTTTAGCATGGGACCCTTGTAGTAACTACAGAGAAACTGTTTCTACGATAATAATCGTAGAGACTACGAGGGTCCCGTGCATCCAATCCCTTAGGCCGAAAATACTTCTTAATGATCCGCAACCACCGCCTCGTGGCGTGGACAAGATCCGGATCTAGAAGGCCTTGTTCAAAGGCCTCTATCTCCGGATCTGTCCACGTACGAGACGATGGAGGATCAGCGGATTAACGACTGGCGGACGGTACTCACCTGTGGGGCAACCATCATCTCCTTTGTGCAGGTGGAAATGACTCACCGTCACTGTAGCCGAAGTCGGACTCGGGGGCGGAGGCAGGGGGGACGATGCCCCCATCGAACCATAGGGGGAGGAGAGGTATGCTCGACGTTCATCAAAAACGGGAAGATGGAAGGACTGAAAAACATACACACATCGAACAAAAAACCATGAATATCTTACATTTGGGGAACCAGGTCGCTGAGAAGGCGTGAGGGCAGGGGCAGGGGCAGTAGGGGCAGGGGCAGGGGTCTTGGTTTTACGACGCTGAAAAGAAGAATATAATAATAAAATTGAGTCTGAACGCTTACACGCCGTCAATAAGCGGATAGAGTCGGATTACCTTCTGGTGACGATCCTTCAACGCACTTGTCCTGTCCTCTCCCCTCGCCAACTGGCATGCCAGTTGGTGGTCGCGCCATTCTTGGCGCGACCGAGGGGAGAGGAGATCGCCACCATCAACTTGCTCGTCGACATCAATGGGGCCAAGGGAGGGGGGAGGGTGGCGGGAGGGGGCGGAGGGGATATAGTGACGATTGTAATTGGTACCTAAAATAACAATAATAATTTAAGTAGTAGTAGTAGTAGTAGTAGTAGTATACTGCCCACCAGTAGTAGTAGTATACTGCCCACCAGTAGTAGTAGTAGGGGCCTCCGTAGTAGTAGTGGTAGGAGACCCAGTAGTAGTACACTGCCCACCAGCAGTAGTAGTAGTACACTGCCCACCAGCCGTAGTAGTAGTAGGGGACCCAGTAGTAGTACACTGCCCACCAGTAGTAGTAGTAGTAGTAGTAGTAGTACCCTGCCCACCGGTAGTAGTAGTACACTGCCCACCGGTTGTAGTAGTAGTAGGGGACTCGGTGGTAGTGGTAGTAGTGGTAGTGAATACTCCTCTGGTAGTAGTAGCTGGCCCATCAGTCGATAGACCACTAGTATATACGATTATATTAACCGTACTGCCGGTGCCGAAGCTGAGAGTGAAGGACATTTGTAAGGGCTGATAAAGTAAAGGAACTACAAAGGAACTGAAGAGAGAGAGGAGGCTAACATCAACTCTGATCCCTATACACTATTACTAACTACTACACCATATTGACACTGAATGACTATTGTTTTTACTTGTATAGCATTACCCTTAATCAAGTATTAACCCTGAATCTCTTATGGGAGTAGCATTGACCTGTCATTTATACTGCGTGCGCACCCAATTCGTACGTGCGTGTGAATCCTCGTGTGTGCGTGCTGTGCGGCGTGCACTTCAATTTCGCGCTCGAATACATGATGCCCTGGATTCCTCTGGACCCCGTAGGGGTCCAGAGTGAAGTCATCGGCACTGCATTCTCACCAATACCCTCTG